CACCGCCTCAGCGTGACTCCATGAGCGGTGCCATGTCGGCGCCCAGGATTCGAACCAACAAAACACTGGACCGCCTGCAGCGGAGCCCATGAACTTAACCACTCAGCCACGGGGCCGGCCCCGATCTTATCAATTTTTGAAACAACTGCTTTAAATCCTCTCTGACATGAAGCAGGGCATGAATAACAATACAATAAAATATGTATGGCTTATATTTACTTACTGAGGCTGTCCTATTTGGGGCACATCATGAGAAGACAGGATTCTTTGGAAAAGACAAAAATGCTGGCAAAAGCAGAAGGCAGCAGGAAAAGAGGAAGACCAAATATGAGATGGATTGACTCCATAAAGGAAGCCACAGACATGAGTCTCCAGGAGCTGAATTGGGCTGCTGAGGACAGGACACTTTGAACATCCCTCATTCATAGGGTCACCAGGAGTTAGAGCCAACTTGACGGTATGTAACAACAACAAATCTGAGGTTGTAAGTTAAAACTCCTAGCATCCAAGACAATGAGAAAAATCAACGTGTGATCCAGTTATTTCCACATGTTCACACAGTTAACAATGAGAACAAAAGACCCTAGGGACAACTGAGTGAACTTTTCAATCATTGGTGTAGCTATATTAATACCATGTAATAGTAAGGTCTTTAAGGAGAGAAAAGTCCAGAGAGTTGCAGCCACTCGTAATTCTGTGACTTTTTAGAAAAATACAGCAAGTAGAAGGACAGGTGGGAGGAAATGGAGAAATGGCAATTTCAATAGAGAAATGCTTCTAAGGGCAAGTTCTACATGATCATGTGTTCTTGCCTGCCTGGGTTAAAAACTCTTGAGCTTCTCTTCTCAGATGTCCTCATTACAGACACCTAGGTCATGATTCTAAAAGCACTGTAATTTACAAAGTGCAGCCCACACCACACAGACTCAAATGCCACTTTGTTTCCATGACTGTTTTATCTCTGATAAACCATCGTATTGATTTTTATAAATACTTCATTAAATATCACTCTATCTGAAAAAATAAAAATTCGGCACTCAAACAACTAAGCACATCGTCAGCCCAATATAATATGTATATTTTGTAGTAAAGCAAAAACAGTCACTTGATTAGATTCTGTAATTTTATTGCTGACATCATCTTTACTTAAATAGTATAAGATGCAAAGAACTTAACAATGTTTGGAAATGTAGAAAGAATTACTAGGAATGTAAGGAGGCAGTTTTTCACTGTATTTATCCCAGACTAATAACAGTTAAAGTTGCCCGGTTTCTTCCTGAAAAAAGTTGTTTTCACCTTTTTCTCAGCAAGTTGGAGTTTATGAAAATCACCTCATGGATACACTTTATTTTTCCAGTTTAACACCAGTTTGAAATATTCAATGCTTTTTGACACCAGTTGTTACAACATGCATTCATTTAGAAAGAACAGTGTTATAGTGGATTAAAGGTCCTTATATTTTAACCCAATATTAAAAATTAAGATAGTTAATATTTTCCTATATACCAGAATTTATATATATTTCCTTGATTTGGCTTCTTCATCCAGTGAAATCTTTATTTTAAAAATCACTGAATGGAGGAAGACAAAAAACAATCATTTGGTTATTTGGATCCAATTCATCCCTCTCCTGTTTGTAGAGAAACAGCCAGATCTTGCCTATGAAAGCTGGCTTTCTCAGATTTTATGTTTCTGCATTCCTCCTGTCTTATATCGTGCGTCCCTCTTTAAGCCATCATTTCATAACTGAAGGTAGAAAAAGCTCTCATTCATTTTCTCTGCCTTCAGATTTTAACAGAATTATTTTTAGATGGACCACAAGCAATTTCATAGGAAACAAACCATTTTCTGGTGGATTCTGCAAAGGGTAGGCAGTCTGTCCAGTGCACTGTCTGTTTGTCACCCAGCAGAAATAGGCAATCCTATTACCTCCAAAGGTATTAGGAAAGTGCTCCCAGCTGAAGGCACTTATCCAATTCCAATTGTTATTTGGAAGTCTAAAATACTAAAGGGTATTGTTCCAAGAGCTACTGTTTTAAACAATGCAATGCCTGTTTAGAGGGAAAAATCAGTACTTGAAAATCTGAGTTGGTTTTAAAAATAATAACTGTGCATCCAAAAAAGAATTCTTAAAGAAACATTTATATGCCAGGCACATGTTTTTAATTTTGATAACATTGGCCAACCTAAATAAATATGTAGACCCTAATAATTGTTCTCTATATTTTGATATTTTTTGTATATTATTCTATTTTAGTGAGTTTGCAAAGAGGCTAATGAATAACAATGTAGGAAAAATATATATCTGTCAGCACAAAGTTGTGGTTTGTAGACATTACAAAATGCTGTGTTGAAAAGAATTCTGTTAAAAAGTAATTGAAACTGTTCTGATTTTAAAATAAATGAATGTAGCCACATCCTTATAGGATACTGTCAGATAAAAAGTAATCATGTTCCCTCTACAATTCTGTTTGTTGGCATTTATATAAGAATAATAATGCTTTAAGGTTATTTTCATAGTTGTTCACTTAATGTGAGATTAATATCAAAATCTTCATAATTATCTGAGATCAGCCATTTGAAAGTGGTGTGCTAAAACATGTGAATGGTTAAGACACTGTAGCAGTTTAATACTAAACAGATTAACACACATGAAAGTAATATTATAATTTGCGTATTGAATAATATGCCAGACCAATTTTTTTGGTGAATAGAGAATTCTTATGAAATGGTACCATTTCTGGCTACTGCTTCCCATTTCTTGAAATACTCAAGCAATCAGCTAGAAAACTTAATGAGAGATATACATGGGTATGCATGTCTTACGGACTTGAAATATGATTCTGTGGCTTTGTCATTGCATCATTTTATGAAACCATCTTTTCTGAGTTTTGCTTTAAATGAAATTGAGAATCAAAATATTACAAAAGGAGGGTGATCCAGAAGAATGAAGAAACAATTCAGGTGGGATTTAGTAATCAAAAAACTTTAAAGCATAAAAGATAGATAATTAGCCAGAACGGCTATGAATTTATTTTATGATCACGAGCAAACAAATGTAGGTCCATACCTCATGCATTTTTAAAAATATAGAAGCATATTTTCATATGTACCCCAGAGTCTTATAAAAATATTTCTCTGCCTCAACTTTGCTACCTCCTTCAGAAGGTGACATGAGAGGAAAATGAGCAGTCATTTAGAAAGTAACATAAAATTATAAATTAATTACCGAAGTCATGCTCATCTTTCTTGAACGCATGTGAAAACAGACTTCACATCCCAGACCCAATTATTTCATAATCCTTGCTGCATTTGGCTATATGGGTCAAGGTGGGGTGTGAAATCTTGGAAAGAAATTGAATGTAACAAATACAGGTGCCTCCCCCCAGATATGGAGAATGTGTGTTAAAAGACAGTATCTGTACAGCTTCAGCTGCGCCTGAAAGGGAGGTGGGGTGTCGAGGATTTAAATCATGTTGTTTCCACTTACGCAGAGAGAATCCATAAAAAGAGATTTATTATCATATTTTCTTTTTGAAATGTAGTATTTGTTTTTGACTTTGAAAGTGCTCCTCAGCATAGAGCAGAGTAAATATTACAATTTTGTTAAACAGCAGCCAAGATTTAATTGTCTGTGAAATATAAGGCTTAGGACCTGATTTGAGTTAACTACTGTTCTGCTGATACAAACTAGGCTGGCCTGCGGTGTGACCGAACGCACCCGGCGGCTGATTTACACCGAAGAACCATCCCGCAAGAAGTCAAGGAGGGCTGGGGGCAGCCACACGCCTGCAGGAACGCATCCAAAGGGCTTGCAGCTTTTTTTTTCCTGCAGCAGATTTAAAGTGACTTTGTACAAGAAGTCAAACAAGAATAAGGAGCTATGGAAAATATAACAAATCATGCTAGCAGTTTAACAGCTAGAGAGAAGGGAAATCCAGTAGTAACCGCTAACAAATACTGAAGAAAAATGTAATGGGGATAGAAGAGAAGAAAGGGAAGAGGCGAGGAAGGAAGCTGGGTGAGGACACGACACTGATTGACACATGTATATTGCACATTTTATTTTTATTGTACGTGGTACCTCAGTGGCTCAGTCAGGGACCTGAAAAGCTCGTCTGCTTTCACACTGCTTTGCGCGCGGCTTTAGGAGAGGCTCCGCCGCCCGTGTCCCCTCGCGTCCCCTCCCCCGCGCCACCCTCTCTCCTCCCCACAGTGGCTCTGCGGGTCGCTTCCTCCACCCGCCGCGGGTGCAGAGGAGAAGGCGGGCGGCTGCAGGTTTGCCCCGGTGGCACCGCAGCCACAAGCCAACCCGTAATTGCAAAGCAAACAAGGCTGAAATATTGGATTGGTCTCAATCGTGACAAGATCTACGCTTTTGCCGCCAATTTGTTTGTGCAGCTCTATTTAAAGGCACTTGATTGAGGAAATGTTGAAAATAGCGGTGAGGGTTTCCCTAATGAGACCTCAGGAGGGAAGCGGCGGCCTTCGCCCGGCGCACAGGGCGCGGGGGTGGGGGCGAGGGACGCGCTTAACCCCTTCCTGCCGGCCTCCAGCGGCAAGTCCTCGGAGCCGAGCGGCGGAAGCTGGGGGTCCATCCCACCCGGGAGCGGTGCCCTCCCTCGGCCTGCGCGACAGAGAATCGGCCTCCTGAGTGGCGGGAACCGAGAGGGGGGTGGGGATCAAAACGAGAATTTAACGAGGATGGAGGGGGCGGCCCAGCAGCCAACGCAGGGGCTACAAGGCCAATGGCCTAAATCCGGAGAGGCGGCTCTGGCCGCGCCCCTTGCCCCCCAACACCCTTGGGCCTTGGCTGCAGCCCGGCCTCTCACTCTCCGGAGCCCAGCGTCCTGCGAAGGCTGAGGCCCTTGGATCCCCAGGGCGGCGCGATTCTGCGCGGCGTGGGCACCAAGACCAGGTGGTGCCCTCCGATGCTCCCCGGCCCATCGCGGTGGGGCTGGGTCTTCAGGCGGCTGGAAGGAAAGGCAAGAAAGCTAAGAGACGGGAAGAGAAAATGCATAAACATTTATTGAGCGCAGCCTGTGCGTCAGGCGTCTCGATCTTTCGTGCACCTTCATCTCGTTTAACCTTCCCTGCACACTCTCGAGGTCGGTGTCATTCCCCACTGTTCAGATGGGGAAACTAAGGCTTAGAGAGACCGAGGAGCTTGTCCGAGGTCGCGCAGCCAGTCCGTGGGAAGCCCAGAGTCCGCCCTGCCCAGCTCTGACTCGGGAGCTCAGGACGTGGAGAGGGGCGACCCGGGAAGGCCAGGCTGGGGCTGGGTGTCCCACGCTCGGATCCAACGACGGCTGACGGAGACCCCTTGCAAGCGCGATCCATCCGGAGGAAGCCTTCCCTGCTTCTCTCTAGGGCGTGGAGATGAAGTTCTGTTGCCTAATGGAAGACGTCCAACTCCTCTACTAGCTCCAGTCGCTTTCAAAATAAAGAAAACCAATCCGATTGCAATTGGGATATGCGGAATTCACCCGAGTTCTCTAAGTCATCCCTTTTACACAAGCTGTTTAAGCATCTACCGGGTACAATGCATTGATTGGGCTCTCAAGGAACCCACACTCACAGGAGGTGAAAGATAGGTGCCCAGAGACCTACCAGAGGGAATATGGGGAGGAGCACTAGAAAAGAGTTCAGAAGAAAAGAGACTTCATTTGGGGGAGCAAAGAGAAGGGAAGCAATACCTGGAAAGGCTTCCTGGAGGAGGTGGAATTTAAGCTGGGCCTGGAAGAAACAAAGAAGTGTGGATTCTTTAATGTGGGAGAGAGATGGGTTGTTTGCCAGCTATGCCGACAAGTCAAAGTGTGCCAGACCCATACCTGGAGACAAAGTGGGGGTCACACTTTCACCACCTGCTGCCATCTCCCGGATGCACCTCCAACTTGGAGAATTGTGAGTTGATCAAGCCTTGAGCGGAAATTCCAATCTGTCTCAGGATTGACAACCAAGGGCTTGGAGATGACACCAGCAGCTAGACTTTGACCTTCCAGAGCTCCGGACTTGGGCCAGAAAGGACTGTCAAGGGCAGGGGCAGGAAAATGGCACTGGGGGCACCCTCACCAGAGCTCCTCACCATAAGCCACACATTCCTGCACATTTCCCGGAGGGCTCTGGTCAGAGATGTACCTTGGCCAATCTGAAGCTTGTCTTTCTGGAGTCACAGGCAGATGTAGATTGGGAAAATGAAGACCCTTGGGGTGGAGGGGCCAGGGGAGGACTGGTTTCGGTTGTACTTGCCCAAGTATGATCTTCGCCTTCTGTCAGCAAAATAAAAAAGCATCAGTCACACCGATTTAGTGGAGCCTTCAAATGTATTCTGTATGGAATTCTGCTTTTTTTTTGTATGCAACCAATTCTTCATTTGAAGTTGGATGCTTTGCAAGCAGAATGCAATTCCATTTTTTGTTCCTCGAGGTTTTGGCCTGTGTTAACTTAAGTGGGCACTCACACAAGTATTAAAAAGAAAACCATTCTCTTCTGGAAAATGGAACAAAGTAGCATTCACGAGGCAGATATATAATCTGTAACAACAAATGAGCCTCCTAGTGCTGCGCATTTCCAGCAAGCATCCTGCCTTCTCTGTTTATATTATAACTTTTCTGCCTGCAATTATTTTTATTTTAATTTTCTGTCACTTTAACAGAAACCAGAGCCTTTTCTTTTAATGTTTTGTACACAACATGTTCATTTTGATAAGATGTTCTTTCCTATCCTCTTTTAGCTTGCCTTCCTTGTTTAGAGTTCTGTATCAGGAGTTTCTAATATTTCTCTCTCTTTTTTTTTTTAAGAACTTGTCCCTGTCTTGCTTTATTTGTTTGTGTGAAATTTAGTTTGAAAGGAGATCAGAGAGAGCAGGAGGGGTTTGTAATAAGAGAATGACCGAATGACCCAAAGGCTGATTATCTATCATTAACTGGAGACTCGGTGTACCCAAATTACCAGGGAGACCTCAGTCTGCCGGATCCTTACCCGGCCAGAAAGGCAAGCATGGAATGCGCACACTGAAACAGGCTCGTGGTGTTGCAAATGAAGACACTCTGCTCACACATTTTCTTAAGGAGATTTCCTTCAAAACTCAACTCCAGTTCAGTGGACAAATTTGTGAGATTCTGACATGTACACAGGTAAAAATCTCTGCCGAAAGACTAACTTGAACAATTCCGTAACTAACTTTTCTGTGTTGTTTCGTTAGAAGCAAAATTGCAGTTAATTGTCTAAGCTCCAGAGAATATTGAGAAACCAAGCCAAGCTGCTTTTGATCTGCTCGTGCTGCTAAACCCAAGCCTTGTAAAAATCGAGATTTGCCATTAATATTGACAATAAAAGTGTTTCTTTTTGTTAACCTGAAACCTAACCATCCTGGCTCACGTCCCTTGTCTAGAAGGAAAGGCCCTAGAAGAAAATAGAAAAGGCTTGGGAGAAACTGCCAGCGCTAAAGAAATCCATTTCTGTGAATTTGCAAAGGAGGCTTCAGAACTGGACATCCCAGGAATGCGACAACACTGCAGCCAGAAGTGGGAAAGCACAGGCCGTCAAGTCACAAACAAACCCTTCAGTCACAGAAACGGCTTGTCCAAAGCCCCACATTTTAAGTTGCCATTTGCCCTCTTTGCTTTCTTATTTTATTCTGAAACCCAGACCTAATTGCAGGCTAGTTGAAGTCTGTTACTTACTGTTCCCATAGAGCAGAGCGCGTATGCAAAATTACAACTACTTCCTCACCCAAATGTTGAATGCTTTCCTCCTGGCTTAGAAGAAAATATTGCTAATGTGTATGTAATTTGCTTGAAACAAGAATTTGGATGAGTAGCTAACATAAATCCTGTGGGATGTATTTTCTTATGCCACTTTTGCTCTCAACGCTATATTTTACTACAAAATAGCAAAGATCAGATTTACAGTACCTCTTAGGACCAGTATAATAACATTAATAACACCTCCCATGTACACACACTGGCTCTTGTGAAGCCCTTTCACATGTAATATCTTTTGTTCCCTTTAGTCTGAATAAGTATTTTAGCTTCATAGACAGACTTGGATGCCTGGCAAAACATCTAGCTCTACCTTATCATGAAATCTGTCCAGAGCAGCAGCATATTTGCCAGTGACTATGGAGCTCTAGTCACGATTAGTTGGAGAAAATGAAATACCCACTGCCTATAATCCTGGATGTTAAGATTATTCTTACATGCTGTACACCTTAAACTTACACAATGTTCTATGTCTGTTATATCTCAATTTTTTAAAATATTTTCCTCAAAAGATGTAAGGATGAACCAGTATCTTATTCTTTTTCACCAGTTTCAGATTCAATGACACAAAAAATCTTGTAAATCCAAGCATTGCTGGAAGGTAAATTAGAAGGGAGGGAAGGAGAGAAGGGAGATAGGAGGGAGAGAGGGAAAGAAAGAAAGAGACAGAGAGTGGTTGGGAGAGAGAAAGAGAGAGAGCGAAGGGTTAAATGGGGAGGGGGTGAATTTACAGGCACCAAACAAGTTCCATTTTCTCCACTGACTTAAATGTTTCCTAAGCAAAACTGGGCTGAAGGAGTCATAAGCAATCATCCCCTCCATGGTCATCATTGCTGATGGACCAGCCCCTCCCCACCCCCATCTCCACAGATCTGCTTTAGTTGGGGAAAAGGAAGGAAGAGGGCTCGTTCACCAAATACCCCGCCCCCATCCCAAAATCCAAAAAGAAAATGCTCAGAAGAAACAAAACCTCATAAGAGCCAAGGGCAGCTTTTCCTGCTCTTCATTTTTGAAACAGACATGAAAGTCCAATCAAACTTGATTCTGTTTTGTAGGTGTACACAACACATTTCTGAAGCCACTGTCACTTGCTATGTTTGTAGACAACTATTTCCCAAAAGGAAAACAAGAAAGGGAAGGACTAAAAAACTCCAGTTAAAAGGAGACACTCAACAATATGCCCCACTCAACAATATGCCTTGTTTTAGACGTCCTAAAGTCTCTGGAACTAAGTGGCTAACATGTAAAAGGACTCAATCCTACCCTAGCACCAACAGGAATGCAAAGCCATCAGAGTGTCGCAAGAAGTACCATCCTTGGAGCAGGTGGGGCTGGGGTTACATCTTCAAGAACACATTGCTTCTTCTGCCACCTTCTGGGTTGGATGTTCTTTCTGGGGTTCTTAGCATGCTGTGGGGTTCACTTTATATAACAGCATTATAGATCTATCAGAGAATGCTCAGTCACTTCTACTATATTCGTTGGGGAAAATAAGGTAAAACGAGATTTGAAAAACGATGAGGGGAATTGAGCCATAATTCCCGTAAACATAAAATGTGTGTTTATGGCCCTCCGGCCTGGTTCTTTTCAGGTCCAGTTTATTTTGAGTTCTCATGAGCAAAACACAAGATACAAACTGCCCTTGCTTTTGAAATAATAAATACCTCAAAAATATCTGTATTTTCCTAAAAACAGACTGAAGTTTTTTTAAAAAAATATTTAGTTTAAACCAGATTGATTTTAAAAGTAATATCTCACAAGATCAAAATGTTTGCAAGCGAGTGCTCAGCCTCTCCTGTGCCCTTTGAATCTTTTCCAGGGGAAGGGGCGGGGTGAAGGGAAAAAGACAAGAGACATGGGCTCAAAATGTATATTTGAACCCGGTTCTGTCTGTTTAGCTGGAGGCAGATGTAATGCACAGCACAGTGGGCATACCATCAGCTACAGTGAAGACTATGGACACACAATCACAAACATTCCCCCAAACTGGGGCTGCTTTCCTCTGAAGCAGCCCCTGGGTAAGATGGTTTGCAGCTCAGCCCAGGGCCTTGGAAAAGGAGAGGTGGTTAGTACGCCCTTGCAGGATTCCTCCTGCGGGTGGCCTCCAGCCCACAACATCTCAGCTGCTCATGTTTTCGAGTACTCTAAACATGTGCCCTTTGGGGAACAGCACATCAGAGGCCACGATAGTACAACCCAAGGTTGAGGTCCCTGGGCTGACATCTAAGCTGGGAACTTCACCATCCTCCCTTTCTTTTCCCCCTCCATCACCACCACTACCACCACCAGAAGGCACAGGCCACCTAAATTGAGGGCAAACTTGAGATGGCTTCTTTGCCTCACAGCTTTCCAAAGCAGCAGGCTAATGCAGCATCCCACTAGACCTGGAACAAAATGTGCGCCAAGAAGGACACTAAGACAAAAAAAGTGGATGCATTTGGTTGTGCATTAAGAGTGGAGCTCAGCTAGTCTGGCCTGTGTCAGCAACTACAGCTGAAGACACTAGAGTTCATCCATTTGTCCCCTGCCTCCAAGCCGCCTTCCTATGGCTGTAGCCCCTGGGTTTGGCTTTCTGAGATACAAGAAGCCCTAGATCCTTGGACCACATTAGTTAACCGATAATGATACTGTCAGTGAGGATTGAAGTTCAGATTAGCAACTTTTACGACTTTTTTCTGTTCCATGTTGTCTATCTCTTTTATCACTTGCCGTGCTATCAGGGACCATGAAGAGATTCGCCCATTTTTTGTTTCGATTAAAAGAGCATGAGAAAGGCTGAAAGTGGCAAGTTCTGAAGGCTTTGCCACTGAGGCCACTTGCCTCTGGTGGACACAGCATCTCAATCCCCAATCCAGTCCTCTACCTGGTCTCTTATTCCTCCTTTCAATTCCCAAAACTCCCTCTGGGTCTGAAAGCAGCCTACCAACTCCTGTCCCTGAATTTGTATCTGTTTCTAGCAGGAGTGCGATCATCTTATTTTGTCTACCTGCTCCCAAGGCCTAGATGTGTTTTTATAAACAGACTTTTTTTTTCAATGTATCAAACGTCAGAGGATTGAACTACCAGTATTTACACATTCTGGGTTGCCTCTCTGGTGAAAATGTAAACAGAACCCCAAGCACACTACCTATATTCTTTCCTTGAAGAACAAGGTCTTAAAGACTCTCCTTGTGCTCATAGCTGCAGACCCACCCAAGTTGGAAGTTCGAAGCTCTAGGTCACTATTTTGTTCCGAGCCCAAATGCAAGCCCCTGGCACTTACCAACAAGTCTGTTTTCAGCTACTCCCCACCTCTTGTGCTCTGCCTTAAGATGCTCTGCTGGGGGGTCCGGGGAAACTGACCCCTCACTGAGGAAATAAAATGGGCCCTGCATGGGCTCCCAGCCTGGATTTCTACATCCTTCTCTGACTCCTTTCTCCTCTCCTACCATCCACCCACTGCAAATCTAAAATCTATTTCTCAATGCTGCTGCCCAGGGCCCCCAGGGTGGTGGCTGGCGGGGCCCCAGCCCCGAATGCCTGGCAGCACGGGAGTTGGGAGTTCCCCAACTCCGACCTCCATTCGCTCTGATCTTGCCTTCCATCCCCGAACCATGTACCGGGCGGCAAGCGCCCAGCGGCAAGGAAAGGACTGCCTTCACCGAGTTCTTGGGGTTTCCTTTGCGGCCTGGGGCCTGACTCTGCCTCCAAAGGAAGATATCTGAGGTGTTGGTCTCCCCTGGGCAACCCTGGCCCGAGCCGGCTTCTACACACCCCGCCTTCGGGTCTCTCTAATTTACGGCCCGCAGGCTCCTGTTGACACCCTTTTCCACACGGAACTCTATCAGGCGGAATCCGCATCTACACATCAGCCTCCCTTCGCGGCTCCCATCAAGCCCCGGGGATCATTTCAGCTCCTGCCACTGTCCGCCCCCACCTTTCGGCCCCTTCCGAGTCTTCTCAAGATGCTCACGCCACGCGGGCGCCGAGGCCCCTGTGCCCTGCGGCCCGGTAACTTACAAGTGGAGATCCATTTTCCGTTATAATGCGTTCAAGATCACCAAGGCCAGCAGTCTAAACATCCACGAGCCGTCCTCCCGGCTTGCCTCTTAAACTGGTGTTTAATGGTTCCCCTCCGATAACTAAACCTGCTTTCCACAGATGCCCGCTTTTATGAGAGAGGCAGGAATGCAGAGACATATTTATATGTTTGTTCATAAAAACTAGAAAATAAGCTCTGAACACGCTGTAAAAAATATTCAGTTACTTACCAGACAGGCTAGTTAAACCAAGGGAACACCGATACCGGCCACACCACAAATTCGGGGAATCGAGGTGCCTGCGCTTTGAAATCGCCCAAGGTGTTTCGTTGGGGCTGGTGTCCCTGAAGAATAGGGAAATAAGAGCATTTACAATCGGCTTGACCGTTCGTCCGAGGGTCTCAACCACCGTCTCCAAAAGCGGCCACAATAACAGGAGCCACCCCAGGCAGCCCTGGCCGGGGGAACGTGGTAGATAAGAAAAGAGACAGCAAGACCGGGGTTTCCAGCCTGCGCCCAGGTCAAAGAAGCAGCCTTCGCCTGCCGCGCCCCGTGCCCGACCGGGCGGAGAGACAGCTCCGGCTTCCAGTCGCCCCTTTGTGGGGCCCCCGCCGCCCGCCTCCTCTGATCTCGGCCCCTGCTCAAAACTGCACGAGGCTGCCTGCTTATTTCCTTACCTCGATGACCTACAAAACAGTTAGAAAAGCAATAGCTGAGTTGTTGGGGTTTTTTAACCAGAAAAGAAAGTAGAGCGATACTGTACCTGGTTTGAGATTCTTCAATATTTAAGACTTGAAGGGAAAAAATATTTTAATTGTGAAGCATCTGCTAAACACTTGCATTAACCTCTGGCTGATAAAAAGTTTTTTTAACCCTGCCCCCCCCCCCGTTTTAATTATCTTATGGTTATGAAGGGGCAGCCAATCCTGGAAGAGGACCTAGGCAATTAGCAAGGAGAACATCAAAAAGTTTTATTGCAGAGCGAGCGAGGCGCCGCCCCCGCCGCCCCGGGATTGGCGTGAGGAGCCTCTGACGACATATATTAACCCGAGCGGCCCTAAAGATGTAGCTGTACATGGAGATCTTGCTGGGAAAATCCGCTTGCTCCCCTCACGGCGTCCAGTCCCGGAGAACCGCCGCCGCCGCCACCCAGGAGCTCCCTCAGCCACTGCGCAGACCCCTCCGAGAGCCGGAGCCGCCGCCTTCGCGCTCCAAGGCGCCTCCAGGGCCCCAGATCCTTCCCCCGAAAGAAGGAGAGGATCTGAGAAAATGGATGCACTGAGACCTCTCTGAAAACCCTCCGAGGGAGCCCGAGAGGAGCGAGGACACGTTACTCGCAGCTAAAATCACATTCAAGGACCAAAACAACAACAACCAAAAAATTCATTAAAACAATAAGCGCCCAAGAACCCAGATCGGGCTGGTGGGGGGAGGGGAAGGGGCGGGAAGGGGAGGGTCGCATGGAGGTAGCTTCACAGTGAGCAGTCGACCCCGCAGCCTCCCTGCAGAGCCGGGCCGGTTCCTCCAACCGCGGCTCGGACTCGTCCCGGGACTCCGAGTTAGCTTCGGTGCCAGGAGCGCGGCCCGGGCGTGGAGCCCGGCGACTCCTCAAAGCAGCCTCGCGGAAGCCGGGCACCTTTGCATGAGCACGAGAGGATTCTGCCTCCCCACAGCAGCCCAGGAAGCAGGAGCCGGCGCGCGGGCCGTGGAGCAAGGCGGGAGCCGCCGGCGGCGGCGGCGGCGGCCAGGGGCGCACGGTGCCGGGACCAGCTCGCCGCGCCCCATGGGGAGCCGGCAACCGCAGCGCTGCTAAGGCAGGCCCGGCGGGCCAGGCGGGGGGCCGGGGCCCGGGCTGCAGCACCCCCCTCTGTGGCTGCGGGGCCAGCCCGGGCGCCCGGGGGCTGGGGGGTGGGGGGTGGGGGAGGCCGCCGAGCGCCGAAGCAAGGGCCCGGGCCGAGGGCGCGGCGGGGCTACGCGCACGCTGGGGCGCGTGGAGAGGCGCAGAGGGCGAGATGAGTCTGGTAGGGGGCTTCCCCCACCACCCGGTGGTGCACCATGAAGGCTATCCGTTCGCCGCCGCCGCCGCCGCTGCTGCCGCCGCCGCCGCCAGCCGCTGCAGCCACGAGGAGAACCCCTACTTCCATGGCTGGCTCATCGGCCACCCCGAGATGTCGCCCCCCGACTACAGCATGGCCCTGTCCTATAGCCCCGAGTACGCCAGCGGCGCCGCCGGCCTGGACCACTCCCATTACGGGGGGGTGCCGCCGGGCGCCGGGCCCCCGGGCCTGGGGGGGCCGCGCCCGGTGAAGCGTCGGGGCACAGCCAACCGCAAGGAGCGGCGCAGGACTCAGAGCATCAACAGCGCCTTCGCCGAACTGCGCGAGTGCATCCCCAACGTGCCCGCCGACACCAAACTCTCCAAGATCAAGACTCTGCGCCTGGCCACCAGCTACATCGCCTACCTCATGGACCTGCTGGCCAAGGACGACCAGAACGGCGAGGCGGAGGCCTTCAAGGCGGAGATCAAGAAGACAGATGTGAAAGAAGAGAAGAGGAAGAAGGAGCTGGTCAGTACCAGGGGGCAGTGGGCTGTGGGGGTGCGGGGTTCGGGGCATCGCTGTTCCCGGTCTCCTTCCAATTGGGCAGAGCAGTGGCATCCTGCATTCTTTGCTGCGTCCTGAGCCAAGGTTGTTTGTACCAGGTTGTGGTAAGGATGGTTTCCCGCAGAAGCAGAGGAGATGGGGAAGGGTGTCAGCCTGAGGAGGAGGTAAAGAGGGATGCTCCGCGCTGGTGATCTTCCCTCCAGGATATTGCTGCTCCCCCAGGCATTTAGGGCGGGCCTCGCGGACTAAGGGGCCGGATTGATCTTCCCATCGCACTGGCCCGGACCCGTCATTCCGTGTCCGTTAGAGCCTTCATTTGGCCTCCAGTCCTATCTTGCTTTCAGATATTTCTAAAATAAGTCGCCCAGAAGCGCTCGATTCCAGTTATTTCGCTACTGATCCCATTTCCCTCTCTTGAGAACAGGCTGCCACTGATCTAAGAGAGTTTTAAGGTTGTTCTCATTACTATGCGTGGAAGACGTAAAGGTCAACATGCAATAAGTACTTTTAACTTCAAAATGCAGCTCCAGTTTCTGTCTGGCAATGAGGTTAAAAGGTAACTTCCTGGATGAGTATACTTCAGGGGTACTTCTTATTTTATTGGAATGAGCCTGTACATTTTGACACAAAAAAAGTAAATATTACTGTGGTCATTGTTATTGTCGTTAATAGTACGACGAAATTATAACTGAAAATTAAAGTATTCTCAAGTTCCTCCCAAGTGCCCATAGGGTGGTGGTGTTGAGAGCAGGGCTATTGCCATGAAGGGCCTGCAAAGGAATTCCATTTGTCGAATTTTTCTTCTCTGGGGCCTGTGGCGCTTTAGTTGCTGCATAACCGAGCGGCCTCCCCTATAGCCAGGAATTTAGACCTTGGAGGAGAGGCACTATAGAGCCCCAGGCGGAGAGCCGCGGGCGCGGGCGGAGAGGCCCAAGCCAGGGCGGAGGGACCTTCTCCCCATCTTCTCCAGAGCGCAGATCTGGGATTGCGATTGAAAACAGGGAAACCAGATTTAGCGCCGACCCCAGCTCGCGCCCCTACATCTGGAGTTAGAGAAAAGGCCCCCAGCTCCTCCATAAACGACTTGAAAACGGGCGGTTGTTTATAAACTTGTGGATCCGGTAGTTGAGCGTTTCAGGCGCGAGGAGGCCTGGGCGGTAGCCAGGGCAGCGCAAACCTTCGTAGCTTTTCTGCAGGGACTGGGACTTGAAACCATCCCACTTCCCATCCCTTTCTCCCTCGCTCACTGTCTCTTCTGGCCCAGGAAGCGCTGGGGCGGGGGGGTGGAACCGGGTCTCCTCTCTGAATTTCTCTTTCCACTTTTCTCCCCCTCACCTCCCCTCTGCCCAGAACGAAATCTTGAAAAGCACAGTGAGCAGCAACGACAAGAAAACCAAAGGCCGGACGGGCTGGCCGCAGCACGTCTGGGCCCTGGAGCTCAAGCAGTGAGGACGAGGAGGAGGAGGAGGAGAGCGCGTGAGCCGGGGCCCAGGAGCCGGATACAGACCCAGGACTCCGGGCATGCTCTCCGCGCTCCGCTCTGAGGACTTCTTGCATTTGGAATCATCTGGTTTATTTATGTGCAATTTGCCTCCCCTCTCTTTGCCCCCCTTTGAGGCATCCGCTCCCCACCTCCCCTTCCAAAAAAAGTGGATATTTGAAGAAAAGCATTCCATATTTTAATATGAAGAGGACACTCCCGCGTGGTAAGGGATCCCGTCGTCTCGTAGATTCTCTGTGTGTGAATGTTTCCTCCTGGCTGTGTAGACACCAGCGTTGCCCCCTCCCCACCCACCCAACCCCTTCAAGATAAAGACATCGGACAATAGTGTATATGTGAAGTGTATCTTTAATACTTGGCCTTTGGATATAAATATTCCTGGGGATTATAAAGTTTTATTTCAAAGCAGAAAACGGGGCCACTAACATTTCCGTTGGGGTCGGTATATAGTGCTGTCCTTTCATCTGTGGTCGTTCCCTATTCGAAGATGTTTCCAACAGCTATTTGTTTTGTGCACTTCCGTCCTCTAAAACTAAGTGGAATTTAATTAATATTGAAGGTGTAAACGTTGTAAGTATTCAATAAACCACTGTGTGTGTTTTTTTACAATCTTTTTATGATTGATACCTCAAAAGAGTTTTGAAAACAAAACTGTTATACTTGTTTTCATAATATTTAAAGTATTCAGAAGTAAACTAAATTATCATGATTGCCTCTAACTTTGTTTAAAAGAGTCAGTGTTCCGACCAGTCATCAACCTGAGCTCCGGCCCTCCCTTAAAGAGAAGTGTCCCTTAAAAGAGGTGTCCTTGGAGAATTGTTCCTTGGTCCTGCCAAAGGGCCTGGGCTCTATCCTAGTCCTGTCTCCTTCCCTCTCCCCCTACCCCCCAGGAGAACGCTGAGTGGTTTCTAGAAGGACAGTCTGGGCCAGGGAAAGGCCTCTGCCGTTCGCCCATAAGGTGGAAAGGTGTCCTTGTTTTCCTGAAATCAACCAGATGCCATTCGGTGGGGGCTTCGGTTTTTGTTTGGGGAGCGCGTTGTCGGTGGTGGAGGTGTGAGGAGCCCCCCCCCCCAAGCGTCACTGCAGCCGCAGGAACTAGTCTAGAGTTTTCAATGCAAAGTATCCGGCTTTTATCCAAGAAAAAAAAGAAGAGGAAAGAGGGAAAAGAGGAGGTTTTTGCTTGTAGTCTCTATGGAGTTGGGGGGAGGAAGAGAATTCTCATCTGAACAGGAGAGGGGAGAGGGAGGGCCTTCGAAAAAAGTCCAAGATTAGGTAACAAGGAATTTTACGTCAAGTAAGAAATCGCGAACAAGACCATGGATTTAAAGGGGGTGGGGGCAGATTTACAAGGAGCTACAGGGAACTCAATATTAACTGTGCTATGTCTGAAGTCTTCCCGGCCGCAGGCCAGCGGAGCAAGCGTCTCCCTCCCCCGGCTACCAGCCGCCCGGGACTTCACCTCGTCGGAGGTTCGGTCTCCCTGAGTCGCAGCACATCCCGGAAGGAAGTCCCTGAGGCCTCCTTTGCCCGAGGGCTTGGCTAGAGCCGGAATCTCCGCTCTAGGAACCAGAGAAACTGAAGTGCCATAAAGGACCCTGCAGGCCAGAGAGGGGGGAAAGGAGGGGAGGGATTCGGGAGTGGGGAGGAGGGGAGAGAAGAAAGGTGAAACGTATTAAAAAGCGGTTTGTTTCATGAAACGCCACGTATATAAATCTGGTGTTGGGAAGGCTTGCCAGAGGGTTTCCATCCTGGAACCCTTTCTCGGGTGATGTT